GGTAGAAAGATATTAAAGTGATTTCCGTCCACTCGCCCCCGCGCTCGCCTCGCGTCAACGCGCTAATTGCTTCAGGAATACCGAGAGCCGGTGAAACAGCTACTTAAACTAGCATTCCACGCCCGACAATCGCCTCGCGTGTAAAACGCCTCGCGTTTTCGCACCCGGAAAAGTACCGGCGATCAAATAACGCAGTTATTGTTCCCCCGTGCGATCGTACGACATTGATTCGAGCTCGAGCTTGACGATTAAATTTTGTCGAGTATAATAACGATTACGGAAACTCGTAACTTACGAGTCATACGAATAAAAAAATATTATAAAATTAATTATATTAATAATTATATCATAAAATTATTAGTTAAATATTTTGTGTTACTATTGGGTTTCTCTGAAATAATGATTTCATTTTAATTCTTTGAGATGCGCGCTTTCGATAAAATTTACGAAATTTATATGAAAAATTATATATTTGAATATTAAAATAATTTTTTTAATCCAATATTTATTTTACGAGAAGGAAATAATAAATTCCCTGGGAGGGAATGTGCAATTCAGATGCGACGAGGCGAACGAAAATAACTTATGAATTTTACTCCCGTTTCGCCGCTTTCGCATTCACTCAATCGCTTAATACGTGTAAGAACGACTATCAAGCTTGTTCCTAATTAGGAACAGGGGTTCCTCGGTACTTTTGAAGAGTTCGCCGAGACGCGTTTGCATCGGCCGCGACTTTCTTGCAGCCGTGGCGGATAACTTTCTCGCCGTAAATGCTACGATGCCGCCTCGATCGGCTTCGTAAATTTTCTACGAAGTCGGAAACGGGATTTCGTCTCGATTCATCTCGCCGGCAATTACCGGCGACGACACATGATCCGCACTCACGCTTACCGATGCATCCGATTTATGGTGTTCCGAGCAACGACGCGATTATTTCAAGACTCTCTTCTCTGATTATATCAAGACGCCTATCTTTTCCGAAGCCTATCTTTAAAAGTATTAAGTACAAAGTGCACGTTAGCATTACTCTCCAATATAATACTAAACCAATCGAAATAATATTTATATATAAAATTATAAAATATAAATTTATAAAAATATATGAAATTAATAAAAGTTTAAAATTGAAATCTATATATGAAATGAATTTCGTCTAATTAAAATAAGAAAAGAAATGTGCTAAAGAAACAGGATAATAAAAAAAGGATAATATTTAAACAATTTTATCGCGCGCTCATATATCTCCGACGTATCCCTTTTGCAATACCTTCGAATGTCCAAACAACCAAGTCGCAACAGAGATAATTTACTTTATTCCTCGGAATAATTCCCGTTTCTGATTCTTCATAATCCTCGGCGGAAGACACGAATTCGAGCATCGGTACACCCGGCTGAAACAGTGGCAGACTTCCAATTAGGATGAGGTTCCTTCCTTTGAATAATGCCACCGAGCCTGTCTCTCCTTCTCTTTCGGCAGCGCGATTGACTTTCCGTGATGCCTCGGTCTTTCCCTTGTATAAATTAGTCCCAGCCGCCACATAATGGCGTGTCGATGCGCTACTGTCCCCCCGGACGGTCCACCCTTTTCGGTTTTTTAATCTTTCGTCCATCTTTTAATCTTTCTTATTCTTCTTCCTCTTGCTCTTTCGTTTTTTTCAGCACCTATTCGTAT